GCTCGGCGCCTTCGGTGAGATGTGGGTGGTGTAACCCGACGGCGGGTCGGAGCTTTTCTGCCGGGACGGTGACGGGCACGGGGGAACGACCTCTTCTGAAGAGCCCTGCCCCGACATCGTTCCCATGAGCACGGCTGGGCTGCGGTCTGCAAATGTTCCCAAACTCCTTAAGCAGGGTGTCCCACACAGCCTTCTCCCTCCTTTGGCGTTTGGTCCTCTCCCGTGCAAACCGTGGTTAGGCGCCCCTTCGCACGGAGATCGCTACAAAGGCCAGTGAGGACGCGATGTCTGTGCGTCCCCAAAGAAAATGCTCACACCTGGGCTCCGTGTGCGATTTTGGCATTCCCCCAGTCCCGCACCTCCCTCAAGGTCTTGGACTTTGCCTGAGATAGAGCCACCCCTAGAACTGTCTCCTCACATCCTTCCTCCCCTCCTCCGGGGTGGACAAACACAAGAGAGCCCTTGGAAGGAAATAAAAAGTTACGTTATCATGTATAATGCTGAAGAGGGCAGAGATATTGCTGCAACGGTTCTTGCACTGGCTGTCTAGATACATCCAGTTGTCTTGATACCTTATAAATTCTTAGCTGCTTATAGATAAATAAAGAAAAATAATCAGGCAAAAAGTTACTCCAAACATCATTGACGAGCAAGGACTGTGCTGAGGAGACAGCTGAGTAATTTTCTGTGGAATAGGAAAAGCATACTGCAGACAGATGGGCTAAAGAAAGAGTAATCCTAGAACACTTCTTAAGGCTGAAAATATTCCCAAAGTGTTCTTAATCCAATCACAAGCCTCCCAAAGCCTGCTTCCCTCCCATCCCCAAAAGCAACCAGCTATGGAAGATGGACACAGTCCACCTGTTAAATTTCATAGCTATAAGAAAAGTCTTGTAGTCGCAACTATACTTTGCAAAATGTTCAGTTCCCATCGCACCATGAAGAAATCCACAGGGCCCTACATCCATTCTATACATCAAAAGATTAAGCTGCTGTATGAGATCAGGATTCCAAGCGGAGATTGTGAAGTCTACAGTTTAAAGTGTAGCAGCAAATAACTTTTATAACATCCATTAATCTCTTTGAAGCATATTCATGTATCCATTTCTCTGGAAGAAAGTGGTACATGCAATTGCTAAAAGCCTGTAGCTCCAAAACTGCCGTCTCCACAGATTCATCCTATATGGGCTATTAATAGTTCCATTAGTCTTCCCTCGAGTAGTTCTAGTAACAATACCATAGTCCAAAGATTTTTTCCATACAGCCATAAGCAAATGACCTTCACGTGGGAGCAATGTTCCTAAGCTCACTGTTTGAAAGCTGTTCCAGGCAAGAAAGGTCTTGGCACTTGCACTGTGCCCAGCACAACAGAGTTCGGGTCTTTCTAGGGATGTCTGCCTACAGATTCACTATCATAACAAGAATTAGCATCAGAGGTCTAAACGACTGTGGGTCCTTCATTGATTTGAAACCGTCTTGATTCCCTCCTTAACCCAAAGTTCTTAGATTATAAACCAGTACGGTATTCCTGATGGCAGCTCTGAGGATACAAACCCGTCTAGACTAATCCAAAAACTTGTTCTTGCATCATTTATATCCAGAGTACCTTAACACAGGTAAGCAACATGACATGCAGAACCCAGAAAGCCCGACTTCCTCAAGGGGCTGGCGGAAGCTGAGAAGCCAGAAACAGCTCTTGGTTTTGTTCCAGATTCCTTCCCAAAAGAGATGCGGTAACTGTTCCTTCCATGTTCCAATCCATCCTCTGACAGTATGGATTATTGCTCCGTCCAGTGCAAACACCAGTGAATATAACTGTATAATTCATTGAAGAGAATACTGAAAAGTTACTGGAGTAGAGATGACATACTTTCCGCCAGCTTTGGTCTGAGATTTAAGCTTTGGTCTATCAACGGAAGTATTAATTGTCAGTGCTTTTATTTTTTTTCTGGAAGCATTCATAATAGGGTAGGAAATTTATAAACATAAAATGAGGCCTGGTTTCCACTCTCCATGAACCTACAAACTCAGGAAATTTCCAGAGAAATTACAGGAACTTCCTACAAGATTAAGAAGAAGAGAATGAAAGTAAGATAGAGATTTTGCTACCTAACCCAGAACACACATAAAGAGGCCGTTTGTTATTCTGTAGTCAGTGTGATGGCTTGTAGAGGGTTAATTGGCCTCTGTTCCCAGAGGGGATCTTTTTAAATTGTGCAGTCTAACAGCAGCAATAATATTTTGCATCAGAACACAGAACTCTGGGTTGCAGCAAAGTATCTTTTAGAAAGACAGAAAATTACAGGTTAAATAGGCCTTGGAGATTATAAATATCAACAAGGAACCCCCTTCCCTTGCTCACTTCTTCATCTACCTCCTTTCTCAAAAGCCTGTGGATGTAAAAGAACCACACCCTGTAAATCAACAGGCTCATGCTGTGCACCATCACGGGGAGATGTCACCTATAGATAGCAACCTAGCATAACCCATACATCACTATAACTAACTCCCACCTGTGGAAGTCTGGGAGCTCAGATGGTCTCGACTGATAGTGCATTACACGAGGAGAGAACATTTTTTTCCCGAGCTGCTACGTTTCCCTGAAGGTCTGCAATGCAGTCTGTGTGATAGGAAGTGTGTCACCGACTCTGCCGTGCCTATTCACCATGTACGTAAGAGTGCAAAGAGTCAGGGCGCCCCTCTGTCCTGCTCAAGGGGGGTGCCCTGTTTTCTCCACCCTAGTTCTCATGGAGTGCAAGCTACTCGAAAGGGATAGAATTTTTCTGCCCGTTTCCGCAGTTCTTCAAGGAGCTCACAGCTCTGCACTGCCTCACGGAGCTCCTTAGAGGAACGGTCTTGGCCTCTCAGTGCTAGCAGCTCTACCCTGTCTATAAGGGTCGTATACTGGTTGGGTATTTCACTTTTGTGGCCAACCAGAGCAGCCAAAGATATTTTTACATAGGCAAAGGCTACAGTGGGTACTCAAGGAGCTGGGAATCCTGATACTCTGTTTCTAGAAAACCAGTCCTCCCAGGAGAAGTACATTTTGCAAATATTGTCTGCATTTGTGGGAAAAGTTAATTTTTGTTTTCCCTGGTTCTTTTTGAATGGACTCCCTCTGGTCTCTGGGGATACAAGAGAGAGAAGGAGAAGAGCAGGCACAGGAACCTTGAGTGCACCTATCAGATGGGCCAGGGTGAATCGCCACTCTTCTACTCATTTCTTTTCATCCAACTGGTGGAACTCGGCGGCTGCTGCTTCGTAATCAGCAATCTGCAGATGGCTGGGAGAATGCTTTAGGGAAGCATGACTGCGACT